GACCCACCTCCCATCGCTCGCTTCCCTCCTCTGCCCATGTATGTTAAAAGCCCAAGCTCCCGGCCCGTACCGCCGGCCGATCCTCGCCGGGCCCCGCTGTGCCCGCCCGAGTAGCGGGGAGAAACACGCGCGTCTCATTTCTGGAAATACCCCACGAAACGAAAACTAAATAAAACCCAAAACCAGAGAGCCGCCACCACACGCCGGCCTGCACCCGGCCCGTCGCCGCCGCCGCCACCACCATGCCGGTCCCCGTCCCGGCCCCCACACCTGGGTCCTGTGAGACGAGCTGTACGTCCGCCACGGGCGGTGAGGGGCTGTTCCCCGCGGCTCTGCGCCTCGTCCACGGGTTCTCCTTGGGCGGCGGGGCTTCCACCGCCGGCCGCTGCCGGCCGCCCTCCTCGGCGGCCTCCTCCCCTTGAGGCGAGCTGGGCTCCGGCCGCTGGGGCTGCTCCGACTCCCGGGGCCGGCAGCTCGCCGGGCCGCCTTCCTCAGCACCGCCAACGGGCGCCGCCGACACCTGCGCCGCGGACATGCCCTGCCGCCCGCCGCGAGGGGCCGCCAGCCGGGGCGGCCGCGGGGAAGCCGAGGCGAGGGGCCCGCCTCCTCCCCTCGCCGCCGCCCCGCCCCGCCAGCCGGGACTCCGGGAGATCGCCTGTCAGCTCTCCTAGCCGGGCCCGAAGGGCGCCTGCTCCCCGCGTCCCTTCAGCCGCTCATTCAATCACCGCCTCCTTCCCCTCAGCGCGACCCCTTCCCTCAGCAGCCGTTGGGCCTGGGGAAGGAGCGAGGGAGCCGTGCGGCCCGCGTGGAGGGGAGGGCGCGGGCGGCTGCCGCTGCCGTAGCAGCTAGGCGGAGGAGAGGGGCGGGGCTTCGGGGCACTCCTGTGCGTTATGACCTCGCGGCAGCCGCGTTCGAGCACCCCGCACGCCCGCGGAAGCAGCGGGCAGCCCCGCTTTTACCGCAGCAACGGCGGCGCTGAGGGACACCCGCTGAGCCGGGCGGCTGGGCCTTAAAACCTCCGCGCCTTCTGTTAGCAGCATCCCCCGTTCCGAGCTCGCACTGAAGAGCTTGCGCTAATTAAAGAGAGAAATAGCTCCACTCAGGTGCCGAGCAGCTACGATGCCAAGCGGGAAGTCACCTCAAGGCACTCAGATCCAAGCCTACTAGTATACCTCATGCCTGGAAACACAGAAACACAAACTAACCGACTAATATCTAAAAAATCAAATACATAAGTCACCCAAGAACTGCTTGCACGCGAGGGCATGGCTTGGTTTTGAAAGCCTCGGTAGAGTCAGTGGTAATTTATTTATTTTCTTTTAATATCAAGCCTTCTTTGAAAGTGGCTGCCTGGGGGGAAGGCTGAGAAGAAGGCCTGTGAAGACAGAGAAAGCTGCTTTGCTCCTGCTCTCAGTTGCAGGCACACCGAGTCAAGGATGGTGTGAGCTCCCAAGTAACGCTCACCAGGCGTTTCCTGTCTTTCTCATACAACACGATGAGGGTCTCCAAGTTGGAAGTAAATGATCTTTAAGGTCCCTTCCAACCCAAACTATTCTATGATTTTATGAAACACAGGAGGAGGATGAGCATGCCTTGTTGAAGCAAAGCGGACTTCCACAGTTCAGCACTTCCAGTAGCACAGCCTGGAGAACGTGTTCAACAGGCACATGAGAACACGCTTGCGTCCAAGTAGTGAGGAAATTGCCATCATCTAAGCACTGCCATAGACACGTGCCTTCACTATCACACCATGTAGTACACTTTGCAATAGTTCTTGTACACACTTGTTGGATTCACAAGGAGGTTCTGCATTTCTGCCACTGCATCACCACATAAGCACTATGGTCACAAATGAGGAAAGCCACTGCACCATGTACTCAGTCACCCTTCCTGCAACCTCCTACTGCTCCTGTAATTTTCCTTGATTACACCTTAAGACATCTTTTCCCCTCTCAGCTCTGAAGAACAGAGGACATCAAGCACTTCAAATTGTCACAGTGTGGCTGGTGGACACCTCCTCTCCAAGCAGGGTGTCAGTTAGTGAGGTGAGCTCAGATGACCTGGCAGAGGCCCAACTCCACCTCAAAGAACAACCCCAGAGATGCTTGCTGCTTTATTCAAGCTACTAGGAAATTAATGACCTTTTGTGGTAAGGGCTTGAAATTAAAATATCTACCACAATTGTTATGCTACCATCAGCTAACCCCACAGACACTTTAATTCCGTAACTGCAGATTTAAGCTTCAAACATTGGAAATAAGTGAGGAATTTCTCTTTCTAATAAATAGAGGAAAAAAACGACTAATGCTTCTAAGTACTTTTTGTTCAAAAAGTCATACATATTCTTTCTTCATTTTGAATTTACACCAAGAGAAAGGTGTAAATGATTAAAGCAAATCTTCAAACTCATAGAAGCATTTTTCTTTGCAATGGAGAACTTGATTTTTTTCAGATGCAATTAATTTACTAATCAAGGACATGCCAATTGCATATTGCAGTGACAAATCTATGACAAAAGAGTTCTTAGTGAGTAATTCTGACTGGGGAAAAAAGCCAGTATCTGTATATGTTTACATCTACTTTCCTGGAAACAGGAATATAAATCACAATACCTGTTCCAATGGTTTTCCATGTAAGACTCGGAAGTTAAGCATGAGTTAGTGTGTTCTGAAAGTACAGGGGCCCTATCTAAGCCACCAGTAAAAATGGGATTAACCTGTTTCCTTCTTTTCTTGTACGACTGTTAGCAGATAAGGAAGCAGACACAGGCCAGTTGGGACTTGAGGAACACTGCAATACTGCAGTGCAGGAACCTGAACAGACCAGGAAAAAAGCAGGAAACTGATTAAAAGTATGCTGGGGCACTCCCCCCCCAAAAAAAAAAAAACAAAACAAAAAACAAAAACAAACCCTAACTCCAGAACCACAGTAAAGGTGACTAGTAATGTGGCACCTTGGGAACTTTTTGTACATACTTGTTTTGCTAACTTTGTGTAGTAAAAGGCTTACGGTATACTTCATTAGGTGGACTGGGCTGGAAGAGTATGTAAAAAGCTCCTACATTTGCGCAAATCTAATCAGTAACTCTTTGTCCACTTTGTATCATCCCTCTTGTTACTTTCTAGAAGGGCAAGTGGGACTTCCCCTGGCACAGCATTTAAAACAGTCGTGTTTTAAAAAGCAGCTCGTTTACACCAAACCAAGAGAGTAACAAGCGTTAGGAGCTGCTTTACATTTTAATGTTGATATTTCGTCTTGTGTAGAAGTGTACCAGCAAACACTGTAAACTACATGATTGCATAATGTAGTAGGATTTTACTCATGGCACAGTTCTTCATGAGGAGTTACATGCCTACAGACTATAGGAACCTTGTTTCAATACTGTGTAACTTATCATTACAGCCAAACTGACAGACAACCTGACAGTTCAAGATAAAGAAACTTCCCTGCCCAGCCAACTGTAATTAAGATCAACATTTTTACAAGTTACACAAGACAGAAGCAATTAACAGAAATAAAAAATAGTATCAACTGCCTCAAAACATCAGCAGCTACTAAGCAAAACCAGCATTCCAAGGCTCAAGGGATTTTCACTTTCTAATCTTCTTTAAAAGTATCTATATACATAGGATCTGTAAAAGGGTTTGGGTTGGAAGCGACCTTAAAGTACATCTGGTTCCAACCTGCTGCCACAGGCAGGGACACCTTCCACTAGACCAGGTTGCTCAAAGCCCCATCCAACCTGACCTTGAACACTGCCAGGGGTGGGACACGACACAGTATGACATTCCTGCAAGAAAAAGCAACAAGACTCCATTCCTCCATGTACTGGTACCTTTCTGCAGTGATCTATCCTTGCTAAAAACAAACAAACAAACAAACAAAATATATATACATATATAAAAGAACTGCTGCCTAGTCACTTCTGAGGAGCATATTTTTCAGATTGAAGAAAAAATTACAAAAGGTTCCATTTGACAATGAATAGACGTGTTCTGTTCTGCATAGTGATCAGCACTTAGGTGCCAGAAGAGAAACATGTAAACAAAACACTAAAACTACCTGGGTTACTCATCAGACTTAACCTTGCACTGTCCTATGCCCTTTCAAATGTAGACCTGCTCTATTTGTCCTCATATTTTGTCAGTCTTAGTACACAGAGGTGTTACCACAGTCTTCACCTTTTAGACAGCATAACTTAGCACCAAAATAAAATTGATCCTTAAAGATGCAGCTGCCAGTAACATTTACAGCTACCTGTGCAAAGCACCCCTTCAGCTAGCATGTGATACTCCCTTTTCCTGTGGATGTCTCTCAGCAGCAGCACTCTAAAATCCGACCACCACTCTCCCACTTTGCAAGAACAACCACCAGCAGCAAGGGTCATTTTTTTCAGCTACTGCTGGACAGTCCTACACTATGCTCTGAATTCACTGTGATAAAACACACCCTTTCTCGGAACACAGCAGCAAGATGTACAGATTTTAGACCCTTTTAAAATCAGAAGGGATTTTAAATAAATCTGGGAAATTACAGCATAATGAAGCCACTGAAAAGTACAAATGTGGAATAACAATGGTATCTTAAGTAGATGATATAAGCCTGTTCTCTTTATTAGGCACGATGGCATGTAGAAAAACATGACAGCAGTACCACTGTTCATTATGTGAAGCTTATCTTGTACTGTAGATTAACTCATTTTCTTGTGCTACACAGTACTAGTAGGAATAAAAAGGATTACAGGATGACAGTGAGACGTAGTCTGAATTCCTGATAATCAGAAAGAAAAAAAAAATCACACCTGGTTTGTTGGTTTGTGGTGTTTTTTTTTTTTTTAATTGAAAAACATTAAAACAAAAATGATCAAGGCCAGTTTTACAGTAAATTCAAGACATACAGGATGGCTTACCTGCTCTTTGGATTTAGTGCAAGAACCTTATTCCAACATTTTTCTCATGCAATTGCTGTATTAAAAATCACATTCTCATTCAGCATCAAAGTGGATTAACAATTATGTTTTCTTAGGATTTAATCTTAAAATCTGGTTTAAAAAGTCGATTTTTCAAAGGTTAAAAGCATTTACACAGCAATATTCCCCCCTTCCCAGAGCAGCTAAAAGCCTCCCGTGTCTGATAACTGCAGGAATAGATCATAGAGCTCATTTTTCCCTTTTTGTTATTCTAACCTGAGAAATTTCTTACATGCTTCCTAGTGGGCTTTCACTTTTGGCAACATTGCTTCAGTCACATAACGAAGTGTGATTTCTCATTCTTCTCAGAGACTAGTTTTTCACTACTTACCCCAAAAGACACTCCCACAAGCAGGAGTTGCCTTAGCATAAATCTGGTTCTGTGAATTGCACACCCTTTTGGCAATTTAAACCTTGTTAGTAATATCATCACAACACTAACCTCAGGATGTCAAGTTCCCATCAGTTGTGTAATTCCTAGTATTGTGCGCTTTGAAAATATTTACTTTGCATGTTATACTTTTGTAGCGAAGTTGATGGGTTTTGTGCTTACTCCTCTCCTTACAAAATCTATCTTTTCCACCTATCCATGCCTTTCCCTTGCTATCAGTTATCTCCTTTTCTCACAGCTGCAACAGAAACAGAACGTAAAGCACACATACATTTACAATGTGAGATCTAAACAAGCTGGTGAACAGCAGACAATGGTCTTGTAAAACATTAGTAGATGAATGAGCTTGTAAAATATAAACCCCATAAATCTTTTAGTATAGTATTCAAGTGTTCAGTTTTAAATTTGTAAGCTTACTGACATTTGATTCCTAACCTTCCAAAATTGTGTTTTAATATATTTAAATGTGCTAGTCACTTCACACTTGTTCCTTATATATATAACCCAAAAATGTGTAAAGAAATTATGAAAGAAACACTTGAAAGAAGCAACTTAACTTCCAACAGAATGTAACTTCTTCTGCATTTTCAGTAAATTTGTATGTTAAATAATTTGTGTTATTACAAATTGTTGCAGTTCAGTTTTACCTGAACTTATCTGATCTTCGAGTGAACAATGTTTTCTTCTCAGACACTAGTCCTGTCTGCCAGACTAAAATTCAAGAGAATATATTTATGCAAACTGATTTTTGTTTGCTTTATACTTTGTCTGTTAAAACCCCTTACACTAATAACAGAAATCAATGAACTGCTTTGATTTGAAAGGTGTGGGAGTCACATACCCCAAGAAATGGCTAGATCTTTCTGTTTGTTTCTGTGCAACTGGTCATTACAGTATTAAAATTAATACTGAAGTGTTTCAGTTTGCAACTTCTCTGCAAACTAGCTTTAAAAGAATGTTACAAGAGATTACCATGAAATAAGATGTGACAGCTGATGCATGACAACCTTTCATTCTACTGTAATTTGTTGGCACTTTTGATCCCCAAAAGATGAAACAATAAACTTTGGATTTTATTAAATATAATACTTTTTTTTTTTATTTCCCACCCAATTAAAAAACAACAGTGTTGAAAAATAAGGAGCTAACTTAACCGATTTGACAACCCTTAGTCTCACATGCATGTTTAATGTTATTGTGAAACTGTATTTTGCAATTCAGCACTGAGTACACTTTAAAAAGGACCTAAAAACCAGGTCTTTACAGCACCATGTAATCTGTTGCTGACTTTACTGCTTCTAAATAAAAAAATTATATTTTTATTTCCTCTCATGTTCTAAAAGAAAAAAAAAAAACAAAACAGAAGAACAAGTTCATGTTATCCAACCAAATGCATGTAAACAATTAATTACTAAACACTCCATTTTCACTTATTTGGGTCTTGTGTAACTGTTCAACAAACTGCTACATGGTTCTTCCAGAATGGCACCATTTAATTCAGTGGCAGAAAATTCTCAAACTCATTGAATGAAAATACCCCTCTCTCATTCTTCATTGAACTTTGAAAGTCTGGTTTTGCTACCTTTTCTACTATAGCTCATTTTCAATAAGAGAAAATCAGTGACAAACACAAGAGGCTGAGTGCTGGCAAAGCCATTCTACAACACAATAGGGATAGCAAGGAGACAAGGAAGCAAGAGGTACCTGGATCAAACCAGAAAAATACTGAATGCAAGAGAGCACCTTGGCCCAACAGCAAATTTTACATTCTTTCAATACTTAGAGTGGTCTGTTTTCAACTGATACACAATCCAGAATTTATTCAGAATTAAAGGAACACACAATGTGATTAAACATGAAGTACATGAATCACTGCCATTTGTTTTTCATGGGTAAAGCTGAAGCAAGCGTGTCAGAATGGCATCTGTCTGAAATGGAATTAGTGCTGGTACTTTACCATTTTTGATAATTGTTACCTAAACCGGTCAAAATCAGTGATCATCTACTCAATGTTGCAAGAGGCTTCTTTTCCAAATACGAGTTCCAGTGAGTGGAAGATGAGAACAGTTTGAATACATTATGAAGATTTTTAAACTGCGTATTTCTGAAGAAAGCGGTCAAATGCATCGTAAATTGCTTGTCTAAAACAAGGAGAAAAAGAAGATTATTTGTATAATTTGGGAATGGGCAGATACAATTTGTGTATTCCCATATACTTACAAATATATTTACAAAGCTATTATCACAATTTCAAAACATTTTCTCATTCAGATATTAAGTAACCTTTTCTTCTTCTCTTTCACTTCTGTAAATATATTTATGTTTTGGAATGAGTAGAACTGTCTACCAACCTTAATACAAGTGAAAACGTTAACAGATTTGGAGTTTTCCACTCAAACATGTCTGGAGATGGGTCAGACACACGCATAACTTATAATTTCGAGCAAATAAGGCTCAGAAGTTTTAAACAGCATTAAACTAGTGGTTAGCATACCTTGACATTGTAAATTGTTATTCCTTTTTGTTGTTGCTTAGACCTCCTAAATGGAATGTTCAGCCTTACTAATTCCTTCTATTTTAAAACTAACAGCACAACTATTTAGTAAATTCAGATCTGATAACTTGTTCTTCAAAGCAGTATTTGATATTTGTTACTTTAGAATAGTTACAGACTTGCTTTTAGAAAAAAAAATGTTGTGTCCCAAAATTCTGGGTTTAAGCTCTTGATTATCATTAAACTTTCCTGTTTACCTTACCTGAAGAGTCCTTGCTTGAAGAGGTAGGCACTCACATGACCTCCATCCAGATACCTAATTTCACATCCAGGCCAGATTTCTTGAAGACTGCGCACCCCAGTTCGAGGAATATATGCGTCCTCCTTTGCTTGTACAACTATGATTAAACTTGGGTCAACTGGAACTAAAGAAAAAATAAATCAAAACTGAATTAATCCCAACTAAAAAACAGAAACCCATCAACAGAGATTTCTGTTGTAAAAGTGCTCTCTATTTCTAAAAAACTGAAATTATTCTAAGCTTTAATAAAATTATATTTTCTGAAGTCTCCAGCAGAATTTATCTGTTTTCTGACATTACAGTAGATGCCATCATCAGTAGAGGCCATTAGTAGAAAAACAAACTAATCAATCCCGTTCCCTTCCTTAGAGCAGACAATTTCACAAGTCTCTGGAGAATGATATGAGAATTGTCTTTCCTCTACCAACAAAACTCTACTGCAATCAGAGGAGTTCTTTGAGATTTTGTTTTCAGCAAAAAGAACTAAGAGACACCTGAAATTCAGTAAAGTAGGATTTCCATATGATTTCTTCTTCCCTCAAGGAGAAGAAAAAAAGACAACTTTTAACAGGAGAGGACAAAGTACAGTGTGTATTCACTTTCTTTTCTGCTTCCTACATGTTTTAGTTAAAACATAAAAATCCCAACCTATTATTATGTATATACATATTTATTACTCATAACTAGAACTGCACTGATCAGATTACTAACAGGAATAACAACAAAATGATGTTGAGAAAAATAACACAAAAATGAATTTGGACACAGCACAGTTCTCTCTTCACAAAGAATATATGTGGTATGATAAAGAGTGACCAGCCAAGATGTTTTACAATGAGGGGTCACAAATAATTTAGACCCTCTCCTTTTATATATATCAGATCGCACACAGAGTATATGTAATGCTAAGATAGATTCTAGTTTTCCATTCAGTATTCCATGAAATCTGACTGCTAGGCAGATTTTCTGAAGCTCCTTTCTAGACACACTCCAAGAAAACTCTGGTAGGGGATGCAATGTCTCCCAGAGCATGGAGAGATCTAAGAGACAAGTGACACAAAGGACTACATCACTTGGACAAGTGCATTGGGATCACAGATCCTCTTAAGTTTCAAGAAAGGCCAATGCTTTAGCTAAGTGATACATTGATAAGTGTCTAGATAAACAGGAATGTTTGTACTTAGAATTAAGGCTTACAGGTTTTTTCTGTCTACTGAAATAACTTTTAAAGCTTTAGGGAAATCACTTACCTAGCATCCCTGGCTAGCAGTGATGTGGGACATTGTCCAAATCAAGAAATTGTCCAAATCAAGAACTCTGCACTAGTGCAGAAATATTTGGGTATATTCAGTGGAGTACTAAATGCCAGAATTAAAAAAACAGGTAGCACAGGGTCTCAGTATCAAGAACATTTTGACGTTCAAAGACAGCTCTGTCAGAAACATGTCTGAAGTCAAAGTATGTTTCTAAGACATGTTGAGAGCCCTCACATCAGCAAAAGCCTTTCAATCGGCAACAGGAAGAAATCACTTGTTTGCATTGCCTGCAAGTGGGCCATTGAAAGGGATTTGTCCCAGGCAAAAGGAAACTCAGGTTCATGAGATTTAAGGGTTGCTGGGCTACAGCTCCCTCTATGGCTGTCTTGGGAAACACAATATTCACTAGGCTGCATAGCCCCATACAAACCTCTGTGTATTTTTACAAGTCACAGTTGTTTAATCCAAGCATGATTCTCACCTTTTAGAGTACTTTCTAGCTAAAATCAGTAACAGATTCCTGCTTTATGAGACTGACTTGAATCTATTAGGAGATTAGCTACCTCTAGATATTACTCATATCACACAGATTTTTTTATTCTTAACAGAAATGTGCACTAACTCATATCTGAAAATAGCAGGCTAAAAATGAGTAAAGGTACTTAAAGGCAAATTTTTAATTCACTTTATCATTAGTTGGCCATTAAGAATAAACAGAAAAACAATTAAGAAATGGAGTGGTAAAGAGCTGCTACTGAAAAAATTCTCAAGATATTCTCCTATCTCAGATAAATTGCCAGCAGGTTTATACAACAGAGAATGAAGAAAATACCTTTCTTTCCATCATGTTATTCATTTTCCCAAACTGCACATTAAAACAAATAAATACATACCTGAGAAGTTAGCTACATGGGTACATTCATCCATTACTCCTTTCATGAACCTTAAGGATTCTCTCTGTAAAGTGTCACTCTTTCTCCTTTTATTTATCCTGTGTTCTTGTGAGCTGGTTAAGTTTTTATTGCTATTGCTACTGGTTGAAAATGTTTGATTTATGCACTGCATTTTAGGAGCATCTTGTGCTAAGAGTCTTTCTGATGAGGCACTTAGAGTACTTGTGGTAAAGCTGTGAACAGCTTCTTTAGATAGAGTTTTGCTTGAGGAATCAAGGTTGAACATTCTTGAAGTCATGTCCACATCGTTCAGACTGTCTACACTGTCAGGGAAGTTTTTAACGAAGTCTTGTCCCATCTTGAAGGAATCTGTCTAAACAAAGACAACCCGTTATTATTCATTAAGGGTTTCCCCTTTAAAACAGTTGGTTAATCTTATTTTTAAGATTAATTCAATATCAAAAAAGGAAAAAAATATATACATAAACAGTACTGTTCACAGTAGTTGTTATTTCCAGCATTAAATCCTGATCATTATAACCTCTTGATAATTTCATTCTACCTTGCTGTCAGCTTAAAAAATGAAGTATTTATATATAGTAGCTTATTATACAAATGTTTGGTTTAAATTCTATATTAAACTCTGAATTTATAATTGCATTCATTTAAGCTTAAATTTCTGGGTGATAGACATATGTGACCAGGTCTGATGTTAGGTTTAGGACCGAAAATCTACTGTCTCTAACCACTAGGAAGACACAAGCTGAATATCTTTCAAGTATTTCATTTTTGTCTGCTCCATCAGTGTTCCTGGTGTGTATTTTACTTACAATGGCAAGTGGTTAAGTAACTGTCTCCAACCCAGCCCCTCTGCTTCAGTCATAAGATGTTTGAAAAAGGACTGTCACAAAGCTAAGAATCTTAGGAAAAGTGATTTATCAGAATTGGCTAGAAGACATTGTTGGAACATATAAACAATTCTCAAGAAGTTATCACTCCAATCTAAAAGAGCCATGAAGCAACAAAATTCCCCTTGGGAAAACTCTTTCAACCCTAGTCAAAAAGAGACAAGAAAGCAAGAACTAATACACAGACAATAAATTATATTTCGTAAGGAGGAAGTAGCTGATTACAAAGCTCTCCCTCATGTGTATCCCAAATGCCTGTGCATTAGAAGTCTAAAGCTGAGGGAGGGCTAACAGCATCCACAAAAACAGAGACCTAGAAAAGTAACTTAATGTTGCTATGTATTAAAAATATTCTACAGCATTGAATATTTGGAAGCAGTTGCTTCAAAGGGCAATAAATCATATTTTAATGTTTACATGCCAGGCTATTGGTTTTCCAGACTATAAAGCCAGTTACTGGGAAATGTTATCTACAGTGTCAATGCTTTGATTAAATTAATTTTATGTAGGAGATTACACTACATGTAGTCATGGTAAAAGACTTGCAGCAATGTCTATACTTAACACACATTGTACGCACAAAACATTAACTTCTGTTTTCCAGGTTTTCCTTCAAAGATTATATTTATCAAAGGCTTGTTTCCTTACGTTGTTGTTTCCTTACGGACACAACAGGCAAACATGGTTTAGTTAACAATTGGCTACTTTTACTGAAAATAAAAAGAAGTGACATTATTTGTAAGATCAGCAGTATTAGCCAATAGGGAAAATAAACTATACTTACTCCACAGTATTCAAGCATTTGAATGATTTCTTCTTCATAAACAGTTTGTGTAAAATACTGTTTCTCTAGCTCTCTCCAGTTCACCGCCTTGCTTAGCACACCCTGAGATGATAAACACAAGTGTCTGGTACACAAGTAAAACCCAGAGATCATTCTCAATGATATTCAGACAAAATTGATCTGTTCCTCTCTGGGACTTGACTTTTCCAGTGGAATTCTGCCCAAGTTCCCAGATAACCCTTAGATATATTGTGATTCAATCATAACCACTTATTACAACATAGGACATGGAAACCTACCAACCTTTAAAAAAACAAGCAATAAAAAAGGGGGGGGAGGGAGGGAAGAAGGCATAAAACAGTCCAACATAGGGGTTACACACATCTAGACTGTGCTAAACCCACAATGGGTGTCAGAGCCAGTTTTTACATTCACCTACCCCAGCAGCAGCAGTGACAACAGGATACCACTCATGGCAGTAGCAGCAGCATTGTTACCTAACTATTTAAGCCCAGCATTGTTACCTAACTATTTAAGCCAGGCTTGGAACAGAAGAAAACATTTTTTCATGGCTTGCTTCCTCATCACCTCACAATTCAGAGCAGGATTCTAATCACTGTCTCACAAACTAGCCCCAGCCCCTCATTTGGTAAATGACCCACTGAAGTAGCTCCAAGATACCTTCCTTATCATGCATTGTATATCCTGAGCAGGAAGGGTGGGTTTTGCTACCAGCCCCTAATAGAGGCTGAGGTGTGACTAAATGCCCTAACTGAAAAGGCAAATGTGGCCAAGCCAAACTTCTTAACTTACATATCTGATTACATTCTAGCATATGAACAAAAATACATGTTAATTACCGTAGTAAAGACTGCAGAAGCTGTTGACCAGGAAAGACAGGGAATCAATGGCAATGGTTTAGGCCAGTTTGTCACTGCCAGTGAAGCCATCTAGAATCAAAGGTACTTATTACATATTTTAATATAGAATTCACAATATGGCAAAAAGTACTCTTTTACCTTCAATTTATTTGTTTCTACAGTATCAAATAAATACACAGTGCCAAAGCAAAACAGCAAAACAGAGATATGTTGTTTTAATATGCTTTGTACCTATGTCACATAGACCAATGATTATCTGTAAAGACACAAGCAGTAATATTTTAACTGTGATTAGTCTGTCAAGCATCTTACTAACACACTGCTGTTTTAGTTTGAATATGCAGTGTGAGACACAAAATCTTAACCACTTCACCACAGAAATCTTCTGTAATCAACTGGGGAAAACAAGATGAGTTGAGAATAGAACTGACACCAAAAGTTACCTCAATTACAATATGACTATAAACAGGAGTTATTTCACACAGTGCATTCAAGCACAAAAGTTTAAGCAAGAAGGATGGAAGAAAAGGAAAACTAATCAATTGATCAGTACAGGCTTTCTTTCAGAAAACATTTCTTCCCGCTCTCCTTGTGGAAAATACCATAATTATAGCTTATATTCTTATTAAGGCTGTCAGGAGATAGCTGACAAAGGGCTCCATGAGGATTATACTGATTCAGCACAACAGAACATGAGAACTGGCAAAAAAAATTTTCTCACAACTTTGTTTATTTTGAAATATTTCTGAGGGGAACATTATAAAACAAATTATTTCCGTATGCTAAATGATCAAATGAGAAGTTGAAACAAAAATTACTGAACAGGAAATATAAAAGCTTACATGTCCTCCCATGGATATTCCAGTCATCCCTAGTGGTCCATAGCCTTCTCTCTCTAGCCAGTGCAAAAGAGCTGCCGACTCTAGAACAAGAGCTCCTCCCATCACGAACAGGTCCGAGACATTTTTTAAACATGATCGTCTTTTCTCCCAAGAAAAGGAAAATATAGCATTTATTTTCTAAGATTAGATTTTGACAGTTCTCATCACTCTATACATACTTTTATACAAAGCCTTTTACAATCCCAGAGAACTCTGGAGCTCAACCTTCCTGTTGATTCATCAGGAGAAAAAAAGCAAGTCCAGATTCTCTGGCACTTGTACATTTTCATCTAAGTGAAGACTAGAAACAAGACACCTGCTAAGTTTCTAGTATAATATAACTGATAGGCTGTTCTTGTCGAAACAGATATTACCAACATCAGAATCTCATTAGAGGTACTCTTCTGTCTTGTAAAGCTATAACAAATCTTTCAGAAGTGGAATCAAAGCGATACAGTCCTAGACCAAACTCACACATCTCGTTTGCAGAAACAGTTCTCTTTTTTTTTCCCCCTTTTTCTTTCTTTTTTTTTTCCTATTATTTACCTGTTTTACATCATTAAAAAATTGCACACAACATTTGAAGACCAATCAGTATGTCAGCTTTGGAAGCACTCATCAGTGTCACTGTAAGACTGAAATTGTGAACTGGGAAGTTTGCCACGGTACTGAGAAATTCATGTAGGGTACTGCAAAGCATTAAAACACAGAGGAAACAAGCAAAAAAAAAAAAAAAGGTAGAAAGTTATTCAGCTGAACCATGAGATGCACTAAAAAGTGTGTGTGTGGGGGGGGGAAGTGTTTTACAGAGCAATTAACACATCTTAAATTTGGGGAAAGGAGCTGTGTATTTTCAGTATCACACAGGTTACAAAAGGCTACTTACTGGCTTCTGCCAGCATGCACTCACATTTGAGACACTAGGAAGCACAAGGACAAAGCTTACTGTGCAAGTCACAGAAATGAACTGCGCTGCTGCAGGCCAGTATTTATAAGCTAATGTAATTCTTTCCTACAGCTTTGTTATGAGATTCTTCAGTTCCCTCCAGCTGCTGTATTTATTAAATAGTTACAAGCATATTAACTAAGCCTAAGCTGCTGCTCTGCAACTTTGTACGAAAGAGTAACAACTGCGGGTTGTGGTATTAGACTGAGCACTCCTCTCTCAAAGAATCCTCCTCTACATCATGCATATACCAAGTCCTCAAGCTGGACAACTGAGTCAGAAATATCCTCACCAAAATATTTAGTTTATCCTTCTGCATCAGACTCTGAGTAACTGGAGAAAAAACACCAATGGACAGATTCCAAAACACACTCGCCTGTCACATTCCTATAATCTTCCACTTCTAACTGCAATAATAAATACATGTTTAAGCAGTTCTATCAAAACAATCTTACAACAATTATATTCATTGGTTAATGTCAAACTTTTTTCTTTAAAAAAAGTGATCCTTATGCCAAAATAGATATAAATATGCAACTGCTTTGAAAAAGAAACAATTTTTAAATTGAATTTCTTTTTTTTTAAAGTATTTTTTAAGCTTTTGGATTCAGGAAATCCAAATAAAATCTAGAAAATCTAAAATGCTGTAGTATGAGACAATGTTCTACATCAAGTCCTAATAGAAAGGACAGGTTTAAAAACAAATCACCTTCCATGCATCTTCTATTTATGTTAATGTCCAAGCTCGGATTAAAAAGGATTAAAACACCAACTTGTATTTGGACTTTAAGAAATAGTAGTTGACTAATACCACAGCTTTGTCTCAGACACATACCCTGCTGAATTCTGTTAATGCTTCAGAAAACGTGAAAAGCAAAGAACCAGAACCACCTAATTAGGCTTCTGAATTCCTATTTAAGAAACCGAGGAAGCAAGTCCTGTAAAATACTGAACATTGCAGTTTCCACTGATTAACAAACAAGCAACACCAAATTTATTTACATGTCTGACTGCAAATCTTTAAAATACCTTGGAAAAGCAAAATCTTAGCAATTATAACAGGGAAATACACTATCTGCACAAAGCTTATCCACGGCTGCCTGTATTATAATTGCAGTATTTGTACATGTACGGTTGTGAACAGGAAAATAAATAGGTACATGCATTGCATACATTTCAATAAACTGGTGCGTGCATTTACACAACTTGCTTCATCTCACCCTACACTGCATGCTCACCCGGTGCAAACTTCCTTGATCACTGTGATCTCTTAACAGAAGGAATGACAAAGCAGTCTAGCAGAGAGTAGACAATTTCACATTAGCAGGTTACAAGTGCTCCATGCTTGGGACATTTTCTTTCTTAATAAATTATCAAAGTTTACACCACTTTGAGCTTCTTAAGAAAGGTGGTATTTCAAAAGGACAGCATCTATGAATGCAACAGTAATACTTACAATTGATCCTTAGGTTTTCTACAGCCATGTAAAAGACTCAAGTTAAAGAAAGTAAAAAGTTTCTATATAAAAACTGGCAATTAAAAAAAAATAAATAAATCACAAATAGCAGAGATTAATTAAAATTCGGAACTGAAATCCCAAACATTTAACTGGAACTTACATGTAGTTTAATGATGTAGTTTGCAATGTAAGATTTTACTTTTGTTAGGTATATGGGTAGGAAGAAAGTGTAACTAGGCATCCTATTTAATAAAACTGAATAGCAGTATTATAGAACTTACTGATGAGTTGATGACAGGACAGAAATTCACCTTTCTTTTTTTTTTTTAACCCACCCCCATTTTAAATGGTAGCAGCAAGTTTCTTGGAAGTCCCTGAGGTACCAAAGGGCTGCATTTGAGAAAGGAAGGCCAGAGAGGCAACCTTGTTTCCTGTCATCAACACATCCAAAAGTCACACAGTATGATGCTGAATGAAGGCAGAGCTTTCACTCTGTCATGGCTAAAGGAATCATACCAGTACTTTGATCAGTACATGGATTCATACCAGGACTTTAATGACTACAGTAAGAAGCTGTCAAAGACATTTTTAAAAATGTCAAAAATCAGAAAAGCAGTACTTGGTGTAAAAGTAGTGCGTTGTATTAACTGTGTTCCACAACTTGTTTCTGCAATACATTGCTCTTTGCTTCTGTCTGCTTGAGAAATCCACTGGAAATCAATCCACAAAGTAGATATTATATCAGTGTCACAAGTCTTCTGCCTTCCAGTGAGAACAGAATAACTATGGTGCTTTCCACAGAAGGATATAATAAGGGTTTTCTAGCAATAGGGAAGCCATACAGGCTTCTTTAATCATTGGGCGTGCCATTAATGTGCGTCTCCTCCAGAAGTGCTAAAGATAAGATGCACAAATATATATTAAGATAAAGTCTTAAATTACTCAATAACAATCAACTTTACATTTTGCATACTCACATGATCTCCAGTGCCTGCTAAATGAATGCACACAGGTCTGTGCTTGCTGTTCCATCTTCTGGGTATGATGAACTGAAATCTATGAGAAACAAATACCTATTTTAGCTAAGTATATCTCTTTACAAGCTATATAAAAGAAATTAGTCTAAAACAAAACCAAAAAAAGACAGAATAAAGTATTTTTCTAACCCATGCAGGGAAACTGCCATAGATTCAGCAATATAATTTTTCATAAACACATACAACAAAGAAAGGAATTCAAAAGTAAAACAGGGTAAATCCCAAACAAGAAAAGGACTCAAGCTGCAAGATCATGTCCCTAAAAAAGACCACTACCTCATTGTCACTATTTAAATTTTGCAGACTGGAAAAACGGAACTTCAGATGAGCAGCCTAAACAAGTATGACTAGCTCTCCTAGGCAGCATTGCTATTTCTCTCCTGAGGCACAACAGCTGAAATCAAAGATTAAGACAAGCAGTATATTTAAATTAAATAATAAATACATAAAATAAATCAAAACCCCAACATACAAACAATGAAGCTATTCTATACACAACAACAATTACTCAACATCTGCTGCTGCTACTCAGGTTACTGACAGTCTAACTCCTGGGCTGGGGGGAAGAGTTCACTTCTGAGCCACTAGCATTTCCCCCACAAGATGGAGCACTGTTACCTACAGATGTGTTACACTTTGGAAAAAACTATTCACGTGATGCACAACGACCTTAAGGGAAATTCGTAGAGCATTTCAAAGCTGTAACAATACTGTACAATGTAACAATTAGCAGAATTTGTCTACAAAGTGTAAGGGAATATATATAAAGAAACAAATCAGTATACTATGTTTTCCAGTATGGTACTAATTCGTCCAACAATGTTAAGAGACAGTTTCTTTCTCTAACCCAAGGAGGGGCGAAAGAGAACTGATATTTTGACTATCAAACTTTATCTGACATTCCTTAGTGCTACATGGTTGACTGCACATAAACCCACCAACCAGCGGTATGGATAAAATTGACAATGCCAGTATCAACCTGCACTGACAAACTTCTATGTTTAACATTTAAGTTACTAAGCAAAGCTTGGGGAAAAAAAAATTCTTCACAAAAGTTTAGCTCAAAATGAAAACAGAAATTATGCTTCCTCTTTTTCTGATTATTAGGGATAATCCAGCTTGCTGGGTACCTTTGTACACAATATTTGTATTCAGTGTATATGGAAAACTGGAATTGTTCCTTCAAGTATAGTATGAGAGGCTTCTTTCACATAAACAGCTTCTTCTGCTACATATGAAACAAAGAACTACCGTCCTTCATTTCCAGCATACTGCTCCTTTGGAAAAAAAAAAAAAACAAACCGAACAACCAAGCAACCAAATTATTAAAAAAGCCCAGGGTATTCTAAAGCTTAGTGCAATACGATTTCTACACCAAAAAAGTATATACTTTCTAGGGGACTTTTAATTTATTTACACACCGATTAAACTATCACATGTATTTATTTTCACTTTTGAGATCAAAATTATTCCAACATGTTAGTACAAAAAAGTTTGAAAACTTTTACAGAGAATTTGTATCACAATACATTAGCTTCACAATAAAACTACCTACAGACCATTCTTATTTCCCTATAGTACTAGTTTCAGAAAGGAAATAGCGCTTGGTTTCTCTCACCTTGCTATAAGAGATTCAACTGGCAGGATACCTGGGACATAATGAGCCAATGGGGAAATAAAGTGCCCCTCAAGGATTTTACAGTCAGATTGCTCCTCAACCTACAGAGAAAATGCGATGATAGCATACATTTCAGAGAGTTTAACTTACTCTGAAAGCCAATTTCTTATACCAGACAAATTTGTTATAGGATAAAAATGTACTGAAAAAAAAACCCAAAGCTGAAGTCTGTTTCAAACAGGCATACACATTATCAACACAGTCCAAACATTTGTTTCAAACTCTGCTTTTATTAAATGACCTATTAAAGGCATTAATGAATAAAGTGTAATACTATCCCATTTTAAATAACTTTCATAACACATACTAAATTTTCAGCATTTTTTGAGCTTTGAGATCTGACATCCCACACCCCAACTATTGTATTACTGAGGAAAAAATAAAACAGGAGCTGTATAGCCACTGCTCTATTCTCAGTTTCATTCTCCTCTAGCAGCCAACGTAACCGCTCATTTTTCCATCCCTTCCAAGCCCATTTCACTTTTTTGCCATTGCCTCGCAATTCCATCCACAGCAGATTAAAAAAAAATAATTTAAAAAGTCAAAACAACAAACTGTTAAAAGCTTTCAGCTTTCCACAGCATTGACCAGGAGTACATTTATCTGACTTTAGAACTACTATTAATTTCTGTCCCCTATGCACACTTTCTAGATTTAATTCAGACATCAGGAAAACACAGATTCACATGATATTAAGATTCAATTCTATAAAAGCAGCCTGGTAAGTATTAAGTTAATTTCGCCTTTATGTACCATCAGGAAAATAAATTTGCTTAAACTACAACACATCTTGCTTGTAAGTACCTTGTCAATGAACACTGGGTAATCTTTTGAAACCAGCGTTTGGCATTTTTCCCTGTTTCCAATAATCTTTCTGAATTCGAATATTCTGTTGAAAGGAAACAAGTAGAGAAGATTCAACTTTTAATCTAAAAAAAGAGAAGATACATGTATGAAATTTCAGGAGCTAAAGTAAACCACAAAGAAAATAAAAGTTATGAAGCCAGTTTTGCATTTACAGATTAATCACTTATCAAAGGGTATGGATATAAGAATTTTTTTTAGTTCAAAAAAACCCCAAAACAATTCAGGTATATTGCTTATGGTTGGACAGCTCTTAAACAGTATTTTACACCTGATATGTTGAAAAGTTATGTAATTTCTCAGCCAAAGTAAGAAATAGCTCAGCTGCCCACACCAGAGTATTGTTGCCAATACAACGGTCTGAGATCTAGCTGGAAGCAAGTTTCAAGCAGGACTCAGGGAAGTTCATGAATGACAAACACTGGTGGGTAAGGTTGATAGCTGGAAGGTAAGACTACCATTAAGCACCACCTGGGTAAGCTGGAGGAACAGGTCAACAAACATCCTAAGGTTCAATGATTAAACTGCAAAATCTTGCACCTAGGACAGAACAGCACCATGCAACAATACAGGATGGGAACTTCCCAGCTCTACTGGAAAACACATAAGGTGTCTGGTGGACAGCCAGCTGAATGTGAGCTTGCAGTGTACCCCCGCAGCTGGGAAGACCAACGGTATACACTGCATCCAGCAAGAGATCAGCCAGCAGGCGGAGGGAATAGGGTTTGCATTGCCTGGGGCACAGGAGGCTAGTGGGGAACTCTGGTTGCTTTCTTCTGCTATTTATATGGACTGCAGAATCTTACAGGAAAAAATGAAACAAGACTCTCCTCACAGTTATACAGCGAGAGGACAACAGGCAATGGCTGTGCATTACAACACAGGAAAATCCTACTGGAACAGAGTAAGAGATTTTATTCACAGTGTTAAAGCACCAGAAAAGTTGCCCAGGGAAACTATACACAATCTCCATCCTCAAGGGACTTATTTTTTTTTTCCCTAAATCAAACGAATGCAGTGCCAACTGACTTGAATCAGCTAAGAAGTTAGCTTTGTTTTGAAAAGGGATTTGGACTAGATGCCCTCAAGATGGCCCCTCAACCTTAAATACTCTATTCTAAGAATAGCTTGCTTGTTCTTGTGATTGTAAATACACATGAGTATGGAGGCAAACTAAATACAGACATGTTCTGTTTCACACTCAATCTTCCAAAAATACTGCATTCATGTATTTCCTCTGCAGTTAGGACGATACTGAAGGCTAAATCTTACACATGTCAGAGGAATTTCAACTCTTGTCAATAAGTCAAGGATAAAGCGTTAGGACATCAACAGTCATCACATCAAGGGTGTGCACACAAAACTTCAGATTACATGTAGGCATGGTAGTCCGTAATATCAGTTAACGCTTGAAGATTAAGAAATTAAGTAATTTATTCTAATGGAGCCTCACAGCAATCACTTAAGAAAAAAAAAAGGTAGGGGGGGAAAGAATGCTGACACTGTTTCTGGCATGCATATAGGGAGTGGTGCTCCCTCCTCCCAGTAGCCACTGTGAGGAGTTGGGAGGAGGTGGTATTCTTCCTTCTTCACGTGAGTCCAAACTGTTGGGGAACAGCTCATCTTATTCCTATTCAGGAACAATATATAGAACAAATTCTTCTTCCACTTTCCAGATCAGCTGGCCAGCAAGCCTGCCTTGTGTTTCCCCCACTCCTTCGATCTCATGTGAGAGGCTTCCCCCCTTTCTATGAAAAATGAATAGCCAATACCATTATTACTACCAGCAATGCCTCCTTATTTCTGTTTGACACGAGTGTGAGTACCCTTATGGATACCATGCAAGAGAAAAGGCTTGCCTAGAATTGCAATAGCTAAAAGCAGAATTAGCCAGAAGTTTCCCTACATGGATAGTATTTCTGCTGGGGGGCAATGAGAATAGGAGTGTTAAACTTCATGGCTCACCAAGAACCTAAAAGTTTTTCAGAGAGGGTTTTGATAACACTAAAATGTGCCATTTCAGATACACGCACATGTAACATAATACAGAAAGGCTACCATAAAAAACACCCCACATTTTTTGCTTATTCCAACAACAGTAAACATTTTAAAAATCCAGCATTCTTATTTTGCAGGAAAATCTGCTACTAAGAGAAATACTAAGAGACATATAAAGCAATCCAAGTGCCATTTCAAGATGAGACGTTTCACTTGGACTTAAAAACAATCTCCCACATAACTTCGCTGCTATCCACAGTGAACAAAATTTTATTTCGCTTTTTAAATTATTGACTTTCAAATACATAATAAATAGCTTATTAAAAGAAAATTTATCATTTCCTATTTAAATCTTATGTGATGCACAATACATATTGTTCAGTCACTTAATATTTAAACTTAAGAAATGCACATGCTCAACTTCCAGGCATTACTCTTAATAATAACTAATAAAAATCAGCTAATAAATTAAGAACTAACTCCCTTTTTTTTTTTCTTTTCCTTATTTTCAAGAAATCTAAAAAGAACAAGTTTACTACTTTGGGCTACAAGAGAAACTTCTATTTACATCTTACACTTGTAAAGCTCATTGCTACTACTAAGAAGTTACAGAAAGCTAGCAAGATCCTTTTTAATGTTACACAGAACTCCTCTGCAAAAATTCAGCAAGTTTTGTTTTTAAAAAAACATTTTCAGAGATGCTGCTTGAAATATGTTATTATATATGCATAAGTGAAAAATCAAACTGGACACATACATTCTCTCAAGAAGAGCCTTTTAAAACACAAACACTGAGCAAACCACTCAAAGACTTCTTTTAAAACCAGTTTCTCCCTTTAAATAGAAACAAATGGTTTTCCAAACAGAACAAACTTTAACAGTTTTGTTTGTTTTTAAAAACAAGACAGTAACAATTTCTGATACTTCAAGGGGTGGGTTAGGTTTTTTTAATAAGAAGTACTGTTTATGCTGTTATTTCTTAACAAGTCACCTTTTCAGATCCTCTGGCTTTCCCCATCCTCTGATGAAAAGTTTAGTGAGGAGAAGCTTTCTGTACAAGACATCTAATTTGCTTACACCCATTAGCAGCAAACTGACATCTAGAAAAAAGGACAAATGAAAACAAGGCAGTTAAACAGGTTGAGTGGCAAGTTCATTGATTGTAACACAGACCAGGTTCCTATTCTGTTGTCTCTATTAATGAAAAGCCATACCATTTTAACCCAAGGAAGTTAACCTTGACCTTCAGGTCCATTATTTTCATGTTAAACAAAATACAAGTGCAGGTAATACAAACTCCAGGTGGGGTTTTTTTGTTTGTTTGTTTGCCTGGGTTTTTTTTGTTTTTTCGTTTTTTAGAAAAATGGCATTTAGGAGTAGGGTTTTAACATGCCTAATTTAAGCAGAAATTTATTAAGTAACTGATGACAAGCCAAATGAATAGGCACACAAGGTCACAGAACTACATCTTCAACCAGTCCTAAAGTCAACCTGTACTTTAATTGAACTGATAAAACTGAGTGGCATTGATCTCTGCCCTGTCAATATAGCTGCAACAGCAAAAGCTTTTCAGTCAACACAAGGCTTTCATAAACATATCTCAGAAAGGAAGCTTGAAATACTATTTAAATAATAAGAAGACTAGATCTCTGGCTATGTAGTTATTCATTGATTAAAGAAATAAAGAAAAAAAGAAGTACTGATGTGGAGAAAGCTTATTTTTGTAAGCTTGTTTTTGTTGGAGTCTTAAACATATATCCTAGCCTTTATTTTACTTATTCCTTTCCAAATTTCACCAACTCATTACTTATGGTTTTGAAAGTGATACTCCTATTTCCCTCAGGGAAGAAATCACATCATCAAAATCCTTGCCAGAGTAATTTCTCTTTTAGCAAATACACCAGCCCGAATACAGCTGAAGGAAACAGGATTTTAGACAAGCTGAGCATAATTTTAAAGCAATACTTACTGAAGGAAACAGGCAGCCACTACTGTGCTTTTCCAGTGGGGGGGGGGGGGGGTGGTGAGGTGGGAATGGGAGTGGGAAGAGAATTTGAATTTGGTTTCTTGCTTAGCAGGATACAGGTGATTCAATTAAAAAAAAAAAAAAAATCCTCCAAGGTCTGTGTACACCTAAGAAAACAACAGATTTAAAGATCAATACTCAGCAAGTTACCTTCAACTATTTTCTAGAATTTCCAGATCCCTCCATACTAAATGGACTAAACTTCATCACACTCCAAACCAGGGTATGGGTTTTTTTTTTTCATTTTCATCCAAAATTAATTTATTCTGCGACACTTTAACATGGTTATTCTTAAAATACACTTGTCTGAATACAACAAGTAAAAATTGTGGTCAGATTAACAAATACATTTCTTTGCACTTCTAAAAAGCCAATGCTTAAAGTGTTTTTCTTTTTTCCATATATTGATTCTTAACACCCAGAATAAGTTATTACCAAAACAGAAATTATAGACAACTTTAGGTACATCAATACTAGAACATGCATGCTAGAAAGCCACCATGGTTCTATATGCTGTGAACACAGGGCAGAAATAAATACCTGAAACCATCAGAGAGTCAAAGTGGGGACCTCGTATTTTAACACGAGTTCGTATTCCACCAGTTGCAAACAGCTGACTGTCAGCTCATTATTCTGACCCGTAGCACCTGCTTGGTCTAGCAGAATCACAACTTCAATATAGTCTTTTTCCTTGCCCACTCTGGAGATATCCATTGACCACACATGCTGTTGGGTTGTCAGATGGGAAGTGTTTGGTAGCCTTTGCTTTTTGGAGCAGGGGGACAGCTTGGCATTTTCCTGGTGTTTGAAGAGAACTGGGTGGTGCAGACAGGGACAGTAATACTGAGCAGACCCTCTATGGGGCTGGGAAAACAGTTCACTGAGTGAGTACCCACAAGTAAATCGATGCTGTCAAAAATATACTGAAACTGGGTTTGCATTTCTATTGGTACACTGCTTAGCAGTAACAGTGAAAAGAAATATTAATGAATGCTTTGATGCTTAACAAAGCAGATTCGTATGTTTTGTTGGTTGTTGTTTTGGTTTTTTGTTTTTGTTGGGGTTTTTTTCAATTCTCTCCAAAAAAGCGAAATGAGAAACACAAAGATGTTGATTTCGCTGCGAGTTCAAAAGCTGGCCTGTTGAACTCTCTCTATTGCACCAAGAGTATGCCAAAATAAGTTTCTAAGCAAATCCAATATATTTAAATGCAAGATTGACTGGAATAAAAAGAGTTGTCTCATCCTGTGAATATTCTAGTTCATTGATTGAATAAAGACTCCAAGGTAATTCAGGATATTTCAATTAATCATGTTCAAGATTACACCACTACTGGAAAGTGTACAGGAAACACTAAACAAAAAAATAATATTCCAAGTACATGAAGTATGTTGTATAGAACTTCTCAGAAACATTACCGAGATAAACAAAATGGGAGGGTGAGCCCTATTTTTATCTTAGTAACAAAAGGGTTGGACATGCCTCAGTTGCTGCCCATCAGTGTCTACATGGAAAGACAAAGACAAATACTTTCACTGTCAGAAAAGGCAAACTCAGCTGTTGGAGGCTGAAGTTCTACAACTTCACAGTAGAAATAAAGAGTGTGAACTTGAGAAAAGAATCAGCAGAGCTTGCTTTGGAATAAGACTGGAGTTTGTTCCACAACTCGATTCCACACGTGTCACGTCACCATCCCTTTGTAAGACAGGCCAGATGGAAACAGTGACCTAATAAAGATGCCGCATAGTTGCATAGCCCAAGATACTGTACCTGTGTTATGAATATTTAATGACTATACTGCTAATGCCGTAAGCTTTACATAACTTTAAGTTGTGAATAGAAATTGTAACAGATAAAGGCACATTAAGAAGTGCCACTAAAAACCCCCTGCACTTTAATATAGTATTTTCCAGAGACAAAGACATGGAAACCTACAGATAAACTATACCTAGGCCCTTGCTGTAGGAAGAGTTTTGCTTTGCTTTCAGAATCCTCATGCTGCATATTAATTACACTTTTTTTGGTGTGTTCACTTATTTCATACAAACAGACACATTATTCATCCAAAATCCAATACATAAAAAGTCAACTGTTCCTTTTCACCCAATGCATGCCATTTTGCTTACAAGAAAACCACCACTGGAAAGTACATAGATTTTATTAAAGGCCCAGAGTACTTCTATTCATGAATATAAACATTCAGCTCCCACCAAGCAAACAAGCTGAAAAAGCAAAGAAGGTATGCCTATTTTTGAAGGCCAAGCCCTTAACTTCCCTGCCCCATTACTATTTCTTAAGAATCTCTCTCCCAGTGAACGTTAGATCATGACTTATTTTTTCCCTATTTTCTCAAGCAGTCTTTCAATAGAAGAAAGACAAGAAATCACAAAAATGTCACGCTGACAAGCCAGAAACAAGCCCCACAGCAATCTCACAAGACAGATAGGAAGGAACCTGCGGATGAACAAAGAGGCCTAACCCAGAAGCGCTACACCGCCCGCCCGCTGAGCGGCTCCCAATCGCTGCCTACCTCCCGCCTTTAAATCCACCCGCCCTGTGCTCAGTTACGAGCGATGGGGAGGCCAACCCGAGCACCTCCTGGTCCGAAGTGCAGGGCTCAACAGCCGGCGGCCCGCCGACAGCCGTATATCTCACTGGATGCTTGCGGAAACCCACTCAGGCCGCCGCGCCCTCAACAGTCCGTGAACGCGTCTGGGACGCGGAGGCCGGCGCGCCCTCAGCGGCCCCCCGGACACCGAGTCCGTCCCCCCGCGTCAGGACAGGGGTCGGTAACTCGCCGCGGGGCAAGGCCACCTCAGCCAGCGGCTGGAACATACCAGCAGCATTCCCTGGGGCTGGGCAAAGCCGTGAGGGAAGCCCCAGCGGCGCACAGCTCCTCCTCGCCCTCAGCGGAGAGCCCACCAGGCTGGCAGCCAGCCACTCCCCACTCCCCCCCCCGTTCCTTCCTGTCTCCTCCTATCCGAACCGCCCCACAAAGGTCACTCACCTGCGCGCCAGCGCTGCCGGAGCCGGGCACCGCATGGGCGGGCGGAGAGGGAGAGGGAGAGGGGAAGGAGGAGGAGGGAGAAGGTCGGGGCCGGCCCTAGACGCGGGAGGGTAAAGCCCCGCCCACACGCACACCCGCACGCACGGCTCTCAGCGGAGGCGCGCGCACGCACGAACGCACGGTTCTCAACGGAAGCAAGCGCGCGCGCGTGACCAGCGCGCACCGACCCCTCCTGGCTCCGGCCTCGCCACCGCCCACCGTTGGCGGCAGCGCCCCCTGACGGCGGAGGCGGCGGCGGGCGCAAAGGTTGGTCGGGACGGGCCGTGAGAGGGGTCGCAGCCCCGGAGGATTTTGGAAGCGGCCGCAGTTCGGTATGGCGGCCGCGATGTTCAGTCCGGAGGTGGCTGCTGAGGGGCAGGAGCCTTTGCTGAGTCCCGGAGAGGCGGACGGGGAGGACAGCGGCAGGTAGGGGCTTGTTTAGTCCTTCGCCTTTCCTTTCTGAGGTGGTGAGGCGCCACCCCGCGAGTGACTGGAGGAGCAGCTGTATGTGACGAGTCCCTCTCCGTCCGGTGTGGGCGCTTTACTCCGCCAGGAAAGCCCAAGCCTGAGGGAAGCCGCCCGCCCCGGGAGCCGGCATACGAAGGGGCAGGCCGGGCCGCTGCGGTAACCCGGGCACTTGCCTCCGCTGCACCCTGCCGGAATCTCGGAGCGGCGGCGGGTCGTCAGCCTGGACCGGGAGCGGCCGCTGCCACGGCGGCGGCTTGTTCAGGCTGTCAGGAACCAACCGCACTTGCTTGGGAAGTTTGTAATAAGAGCGAGGCTCGGTTATTGTGGTGCTGAAGTCTCGGCGTGTAATAGCGCGCTTCTTGTGTGGGCAGCAGGTGGTTGCTTGGGGCTTTTTCCCTCCTGTCAGGAGAACAGCAACAGGGCTTCGAACGTTACACACGGAGGGTGGCTCCCGCCGCCGTCTTTGCTGAAGTGTTCTCGTACGTAGAGTGTACCGCTTGGTATAATGAAAATCTTGACAGTAACCAAACATAGGAAATCCAAGTGTTTGACGGACTTCTCTCCAAAATAACGGGCAGTAAGAGAGCAAACTATATTTAGAAACACCATTTATGTGGTTCAGGTATAATTGAGCCAAAACAAATTGTCTAAGCATTTCTGTACAAATCCTGCTCTATTAGCTTTAAAATTGCACATATGCCTAAGTCTGTGTAGGACCTATATAAACATGTTTATAAAACTATGTTCAAGCATACATAACCTAGGTCTGCATATTTTGGACACAGATTATTTTATTTAGGGTAGTTCAAAAGAAGTGAAGAACCATGAATGTTCTTGCTTCTGAATAACTTTGTGGATTTTGGAAGGTGCTTAGGAATTTTAGGAAAATAACTTACTGCTCACCAAGTTTGTGACTTTTGTTTTGCAGCCCTTAAAATCCTCAGCAGTATCTTTTACACACAGTTTTTACATTGTATAAGTATACTATGTGAAAGAATAGACTGGTCATACCATTTAGTCCAATTGATAGTGGTTCAGGATGGGGGCTTTTTTGCTTTAAAGTTGCAGTTCTGAGAAGATGTCTAGGATTTTATGGCTTATAACACACTTCTGAAAGCATGCCCATGGTGTATGTGGTGCTCCAAAGTGTCTCTACAAAGAGGTTGCAGAATTGAATATCTCTTTAAATAAAGATCTCTTTGTGTAACATTCGAATGCAGTGGTGCATGACAGTGTTTCTTTTGGTTTTTTTTTTATTATTTGTCAATCTGGTGTTTTTCAGTGAAAAATTAGCCTGCTTCTAATTTTTTTTTTTTATTATTCATTGCTGTATGGAAGTCTATTTCTGCATGCCAGTTCATACAGTTGTGTTGAGAGGTTTGTGAAAAATGTTTTCAGTGTGCTGTAGAAACAACTAGAAGAAAATCTGATAATGATTTCTTTCTCTC